TACACATATATATACATACAGATTAGAGATGTAGAATAACACCATGCAGAATATGTACATAATGAATACCAATTAATGTTCAATATTTTTAAATAGGCATTTAATAAACTAATAGTTAATAGTGAAAGTTGGTACTTGGGTACGTCCTAAATCTCATACTTTTGCAATAACGGTGCAGTAGGTGATCTGTCAAAATGCTATCCATTAGCATAATAGCTTTGAAAACACATTCCCTCTTCTGCCGTCCAAAGCCATGCCTCCTGAAATCACGAACGCGCACCTTAAGGATGACAGAGATCCACTAGATCAGGGATCACCAAACTTGTTCCTGGAGTTCCGGTGTCCTGCAGATTTAAGCTCCAACCCTGATCAAACACACCTGAACAAGCTAATCAAGGTCTTACTGGGTGTGCTTGAAACACCCAGGCAGGTGTGTTGAGGCAAGCTGGAGCTAAACACTGCAGGGCATCGGACCTCCAGGAACGAGATTGTTGACCCCTGCATTAGATCATGTCATTCGCCAGTTAGAAAACTTTACAGTACTTTATAATGCTACAATTCTGAATGAAAAACTGTTTTATATCTAGCATATTTTCAGTTGTGTAGCAAGCGAAACTTGTCATGATGTGCAATATTTCATGCATGCAAGGATCGCTAGTTCACTCTCTCACCTGCTTCATCCTAAAGCCACTACTGTATGCTTAGTGGCTGGCCAGCGGTGTGCAGGAATTACACTTTTAGCCAAGCCATACTTGCGTACTATATCAGAGCGAATATTCAGAGTAGCATGTAAAACAATATAGGGAGCGCGTCACAAGTTGTCATTGTTTAGAAATGAACCAATGTGAATATAAACGATGGCTGCGCCCGAAACCGCATATTTCCATACTATACAGTACGCTAAAATCAATATGCGAGCCGAGTAGTATGTCCGAATGCATAGAATTCGAAAAACAGTATGCGAAAAGTACCCGGATGACTTACTACTTCCGGTGAAATTCTGAAGTGCGCATCCCATGCATGCTGCACTATCCCATGATGCCCCACGAGCGAATTCATAAATGGGCGTAAAGCGACGCAACTGGCGCTGGTAGGTCCCGTGACCTTGACAAAACGGCGGATGTAGTACGTCCGAATTCCATTCATACTTTTCACATTCATTCTGTATAGAACGTACTTTTTAACGGCCGAGTAGTACGATTAAATTGAAATGCAGTACCTACTGAGTGGTAGGGTTGTAACAATATACCGGTATGACGGTTTACCACGATTTGAACGTGCACGTTTATCATACCATGAACAATTGCATATCAATGGTTTTAACCCTTAAAGACCGAGACAGCCGCCCGCGGCTAAAAATAAGTATTGCTCTTAAATGTTTAATAACTTAATAGCGGACTTTCAGAGGCTCCGGAATCAGTGCGGTTACGTCATCAACATTTGACAACGCTGATTTGACAAAGAAACGCTCGTCACTGTGTCTCCGGACAAATCAGACATGATACATTGATGCATTATCCCTCCTCCATGCCCAGATTGGTTCAAACTCGCTATATCACAACCAATAAGCATAGGTTTCGCTTTTGTTTGTGGACCAAGCTTTTTGAACAACACGGAATGAGAGATAGGCATACATTTATGCGCGGCTAAATAAAACGCAAAAAAAAAAAGTTTTGCATGAAATAATTCTCATACTAAGTACTTTAGCTTAAGCACAGAAACATGACAAAACAGTGACACAGCAAAGACGAACTGCTGCTCTTGCTGTTTTCAAAAGACGCAAATGAAGATGCAGCTGTTTGTCTGCATTGCAGACAATCATATCCAAATCCATATCGATAGACAACCATATCCATGCTGGCACATAAAACCTAAGGATGTTCCATATTGAATCTAGTTTCGTTATGTAACTATTTATAGTATAGTAAATATTTATATCTATTTTTTTACTGAGGATTTGCACCATGTTTATTTGGACTTTATTTGGACTTTGACACATTATTTATTATTTTCTTATTTTTATTTGTTCATTGTAAGTGGTGTTGTTTATAGTAACTAAAAATATACTATTTGGAAAAAGTCAAATTTGCTTCACTGTTCTATTATTTTGTAACATTTGTAACATACCGTATACCGCGAAACCGTCAAACCGTGGTATTGTTTTAGACGATTATCATACCGTGAAAAATTCATACCGTTACAACCCTACTCAGTAGTAGGCAGTTTCAGACGTAGCCAATGTGAATTCACCTCAGTAAAGCAGGCTAGGTGGAATAGCGCTATTTACTGATGTTTTGTTGTTAAACTGAATATAAATCTACATTATTTATGCTGTAAAAGGACCTTATGAAAGTGAAAATAGTCGCATCAATCTATCACCGAAAGATTTCAGTGGCTGAACAACACTTGTGTGCATATAACCCATTCATAGCAACACAATCTACATCAGCTCTGCGTGACTAAAATAGTTTTAAAACAGAGCGTTACCTGTCAATCACAAATACTTCAGCCATGGTGTCGTCCTTTCTCCAGCGTGCAAAAATACCTCCTATATTGAGTCAGGATTTTAACAAGTTTTGATTCAGCATTTGATTTTTAGCACCGTCACTCTCTCTCTCTGTCTCTCTCTCTCTCTCTCTCTCTCTCTGGCGTGCATGTGCAAACAGCAGATGTGTGTGAACGCATGCGCAGATGTACAAATCTACATTCGTTTGGGCTACTTATCAGAATTATGAGAATTATCGGCCTGACAATGTTTAATTGGATGAACTTTTTTTTTTTTGTCTTATGCCTCACCCAGAATATAAAAGTGCATATAAATACATTTAGATCATTTACTTTAATCATTACTATTGGAATGTGAAGAGACTTTTAACCACCACAACAAAACGTGTTTCTGAAGACAATCCCCTACTGCACCTTTAAACTCTTACCACCATTATAAAAAAATTTCACAAATGATTTGGCAACCATTAAACATCAGCTGATCAAATGGTTTGAATTTCTGCTTTTGGACGACATCAAACTTATACACTACACGGTTGAGTGTACACTGCATAGTGTGTCAATTAGGACACAACTTTAAACTCCACTATATTTATTTCACGAATAATTTGGTAACCATTAAACATCGCCAGAGAAAATGGTTTGAATTAAAAAAAAAAACGTTTTGGATTTGGGATGACACGAAGCTTATACTATATATTGTTCACTAGTGTACAAGTGCATAAATAAATAGTGCGTCATTTGAGACGCAGCCTTAAACTGTTACCCCCATTTTTTTCCCCATGTCATTCAATGTGTGTCAATGCGTGTGTAGCATGCACGTGTGTGCATTTGAGTCCCGTTTGCATCCCTGTGTGTGTGTGCATGTGTGTATAACTCTTGTTTTCCTGCAGACATTGTGAACACAGCACGTCCAGATGAGAAGGCCATAATGACCTATGTGTCCAGTTTCTACCATGCCTTTTCTGGAGCCCAGAAGGTACCAAATGACCCCTAACTCCCCCCCCATCCCCGAACAGCTCTTCCTCAGCATGGCTTTGTCCGTCAGTCCTGGAATAATTAAAAGAGGACGCTGGTTAAAGCACACCATCAAACTTATGTTTTAACCATTCCTCTTCTGGCCCTTCTCTGGACTTTCTCAGCAGCGGATTGGCTCTTTCTCTCTCTTCGCGGGTTGCCAGGGTTTTAACGCAGGATTCCAGACCCCCCATTTCCCTTTCAATGGGGGAAGCCCATAAAATGCATTACAATCTCCTCCTATTTCTCCTCTCTCAGTGGGGACACACAGGCTTTGGGTTGCTTTGCTTCACCGCTGTCTCTTTCTCTCTCTTTTTTGTTCTCTGCTGGCTCCGCTATAGATATCGTGGGCACTCTGCGGCCGGATGAGAAGGCTATTATGACCTACGTCTCCTGTTTCTATCACGCCTTCTCAGGTGCTCAGAAGGTGAGAAGCCTTTGAACCCTGACTCTTGGCCTTGAAACTCTCGATGTCCGTTCATACCTGGTTTTATCGTCTTGGTTCGTTGTATTTTGCTCCTAATTAATACACAGGAAGGGCAAAAAACTTCAATTAGTTCATGTTTCATATGGGATTACATTAAATGTCCTGTGAAACTAAAATCAAAACTATTAGATGTTAGTTTAAAGGATATCTATTAGCTAATTTGCCCTAAAACACACGATTGGAAAATATAAAATAATATACGATACGATATAAGCATGTAAAGCTTGTAGTTTGTCACTTCTGCCTAAATGTATAAGGTTTTTTTTTCACATCACTCCATACTTCAGTTTCTCATTAAATCTGACCAATCAAATGCTCTCTACTGTCCGACATGCCCCACCCCCTTATCAAGACTCTTCATTTGATGCGCTTGAGCTCAAACACTCACTGTGATAAAAGCAACCTCCTATTGGCTGTTTATTTTTTTTTAAAGGGGAGGGGCTACTCTGTTCCACTCTTAGTTTTTTTTTAGTTGTGATTAGGTCTAAATAAAACATTGAATTAAAAAAAAATCACTTTTCAAAGCACTTAATTGGACCTTTTAATATAAAGTGGTCCCTTGTTAATCATGGGAGTTACGTTCTAATAACTCATAATAGGTAAAATCTACGATGTAGTCGTTTTTTTAATACAATTATTACAGACGTTTTTAGGCTGTAAAACCCCTCACTAAACTCTTTATACACTTTTCTCAGACAGGCATTAACATTTTTACACTTTTCTCTCCTGTTTAAATACTCTCAAAGTTCAAACTTTCATATAAAAATAAGTCCAGTATTATAGAATGAAACCAAAGACTATAACCTGTTGTCAGGCGCAAACATTTATCTCTGTCAGCAGAAGGATCATAAAGCTTTTTAGCTTTTGTGCGGATAAAGTTGGCATCCAGCGTAATGTTCTTTATCCTTCAATCACTGATCCACAAAGCTAAAGCAGACTCCATCCTTAAGGGGGTCGCACACCAGATGCACCGCGCACATGACAGTTGGAAGTAACACACATCGGTAGCGCGCATTCACATGTTATTTAAAATTATATTATTCAGATGGCGCTCTGTGGCATGGCAGAAATATGAACAGTGTCCTGAGTCGTAGCTAGGCTCTGTAGACAGCCACTGACTTGCGCCGCTGGTGTGTGTACGGTGATATCAATGTTTACAATTTTAAAATGTGTACCGGTGTGCAACACCTTTTACGATGGTCTTGCTGCAGACAGTTACAACCCTTTTTGCATCCTTGTTGAAACTCACACTGCTAGCAATCAAAGATTTATGTTAATTTGGCAAGCTGAACACATTCTGTACGGTGCAGGAGACAGATTGACAATGGTCTATAGCCAATCAGGACGCAGAAAAAAAAAACATGTCAAATTGCACCAAAAAAATGGCAAAACTGTAAGGCCGCAAAAAGTGAACTGCATTAAGTGGGGAACCACTGGAATAGAATATTAGACAGCTGTCCTAAATCGATTAATGTACTTTGATGTCATAATTGGAATGCAAGAATTGTACACAAATGGAACATAATGAGAACAAATAACCTTTCATGCATACAATCACACTGGTGTGATCAGCCTAGGCAGGTTCTTTAAGCAAACGATCACACTAGTGTAATTAGAACGTTTAGAGCGCACCTAATTCAACTGCTAAGATTCTAATCTGACGGTGCATGTTGAGGCATAGAAAGAGGTGCGCAGCGCTTGTCATAAATCACAATTTATCCATGCTTTCAACATATATTGTTTTAGGTTTCAGACATTTAAATACACATAACTACAAGCAAAACATGCCATTTAAGCTTTGTAAAATACACGTGGATGTCTGTGGAGACTGCAAAAATAAATATTTTTCAATATAACCGGACGATGTGCTTTGTTCACATAAGATACACACTGTTTGTTACTACAGTACAATATTTTCTCTATTACTCTCCCAGTTAAACAGGTGCCTACCTTCATGTATTTTAGAACAAAATGATGCTATATTGACATGAGTATCCTCAGCTGTATCCCATCTAGACTTCACTTCACTGCAGGAGAGGGTGAGGTCTAGATGGGATACAGCAGAGGATACTCGCGTCAATATAGCATCATTTTTGTGACACTTTACAACAAGTAATATTTTTACATTACCTTGAAGGTTGGGTTTATGTTTGAGGTAGGGGTAGATGCTTGCAAATTAATGTGTAATTTATTAAATAATATAAATACTTTGTTAACTTCTGATAGCAGCTGTATCTTTTCTAGCAACAACAGCGGCGCCCATTACCCATCATAACAAATAATATGATCATTATTAAGCTGTTGGGTTGGGTTTAGGGTTGAGGTAGGGGTAGATGCTGATAAATTAATGCATAATTTAATAAATCATATAAATACCTCTTATTAACTTCTAATCACAGCTGTATCTCTTCTAGCAACAACGGTGGCGCCCATTACCCATCATAACAAATAATATGATCATTATTACGCTGTTGAGTTGGGTTTAATGTTGAGGTAGGGTTAGATGCTGATAAATTAATGCATAATTTAATAAATAATATAAATACCTCTATTTAACTTCTGATAGCCGCTGTATCCCTTAAAGCAACAACGGTGGCGCCCTTTACCCATCATAACAAATAATATGATCATTATTAAGCTGTTGGGTTGGGTTGTGGTAGGGGTAAATGCTAATAAATTAATGCTTCGTAGTCTAGTGGGAATGTAATGTACAGTTTTAAAAGGGCTTTATCTGGAATATAGGAACCATTGTTATTAATTCAATGTCCCAGTATACTCAGTAAGTTCTTTGAATACAAGTACAAAATAAGTTGCAAACTCTTTTGATTAATGTACTAATAATGAATATGCCAGATGCCAATCACACTGATGAGAGCAATGTTTAGATGAGCCTATACATATGCGCTGTATTAATGTCACATTAGGATGACTGCTTTCTTTACAGTATAGAAACAGACGTAATCCAGTTGGATGCAGATCAGTTTATTCAATCTGGTCTTCCAACTCTATTGGCTCAACATATGGCGTTGACTTCTTCTGGGTTAGAAACCACCAGATGCATGCCATCCTTTTTTTATTCCAAAGTATGCATTCTTTGAGTCAACTGAGCCTCAAATGAAGAAGATATCCAGTTGACATTTTGAGGAATGTCAGATTTATAGCCAGCCGATCCTTTAATATGTAATCCAGCATGACTGCATGAACCCGAGCCAGAAACCAACTCAACTGAACCAGGTGTGAACGTGACATGAGTTGAGGCTGGATTTGATTGATCACAGCTTTGGGGCTTCACCATACCCAAATCATTGCCATCACCACTTTCTATACATGCACTTATTTTCCATGCACTATTATTAATACTCTTAATAGGTTTACTGGTATATCACAATTATGTTTAAAAGCTGAATTTTGCTGTTCGATGTTTCATATTTGCACTCTGTCATTCACAATATTGAGTTTACTACGCTCTGTGGTTACTGGTTTGATTCTCAGATGTTGTGTTGTTTGCCTACATAAGCATGTATCTTGATTTGGTTCAGTGTTGGGGAAGCTACTCTGAAACTATTATTTTACAAAAACATGAATAAACATTAAAGGTGCTGTATGTGTAAGTTCGACTCTTCTAATGGATAAGAATACGATAACATGTTTGCAGATATTTTAGAAACATGCCAAGTGAACATTTGGTCTCACTTTATTTTGATGATCCGTTTGTTGATTATAAGTTACATTGCATCTACATGCCAACTAATTCTCATTAGATTATAAGTTGATTGTTAGGTTGGGGTTTGTGTAAGTTGACATGTACTTGCTAGGTTTCTTATAGTCAGTTAAATGTTTGTTGAAGTAGCAGAATCAGCAGATATTAAGCTGACAGTCTAATACTCAAATGGACCATTACAATAAAGTGTTACCGAACATTCTTGTTTATCTAAAAAAAAAACAATGCATGTAATGTGAGTTACCTGCCGGAATGTCTGTCTTTGTTTTGGTCTCTTTAACTCGCTCTTCATTTCCTGCATAAATGTATATATGAATAATTAATAGTGCAGGCAGGTAAATAATAAAATTACTCGACTGTTGGGGGAATAAAAAGTGCTTAACTGAAAACTTTCAAACGCCTATTCATACTTGAACGTAGTTGTGTATTTACTTTTTCTCAGCTTAACATGCTAATGAGAGGCTGTCTGTCAATCATCAGAAGCCAGTCAAAACAATCGGATGCAAAATTGTTGTAATGATCAACCAATAATGGCATAAAGACCGCCTTCTGATAATTTACAGACAGCCTCTCATCAGCATGTTGAGCTGACGAAAAGTAACTATATAACTGCGTTCAAGAATGAATAAACATTTGAGTAATTTATTCAATTATTTATTAATTTGTTTGATTATTGCAGTAATTTAATGATTTATTTACTCATTTAAATATTTGCATATTTA